CTGGCTCACATAATTGGTTTCACCTGCTTTTGTAGCTTGTCTTCACAGGGTGTATCTTAATGGCACAAAGCCCAGTTGTGCAAAACACTACGTGCCTGTGAGCAGCATGCACACACCCGTCAGCTGGCCAAAGCCTACAGAAGCAGAGCCATGGGCAGGGCTCTCATACCTGTACTCTGTACCACAGCTCCCACTGTTAGACAGCAATGAAGTGGAAGTCTGGTGTGGAGGAAGCCTGAGCATCTAGCTACACACAGCTACATAAGGCTGAAGAACAGTTTAATTTACCCTTTAATTTAATTTACCCTTAATTTATCTTTTCTTTATTTCTGCTGTAAAGCTTCTGGTTTCTAAACCATCAGTAGGCCCCTTTGCTAGAACATTTACTTCATGACTCTGCAAGAATAGAACTGTTTTTCATGTCAAGTGAGTTTTCAACACATATCAAAACAGTACATGTTCTCCTTAATAAATCCCAGATTTAAACAAGTGTCTCTCCAAGGTCAATACTTTTTTATTAAAACAGACCTATTATTTGGTGAGAGGCCTAGGCAATAACAGTTTCTGAGCAAGTGCTTAGTAGTGGCTAGCTGCAGCTTCTTATTCTTGTTTATTTAAGGTACTTAAGAAAGAAAATAATTATGGGCAAGGCTTTCAGTGTCTTAAAAGTTTCAACTCCAGGAAGGCTGGTGTCCTCACAGGTATAGACCTCAGATTGTGTTAAAGAGGGTTTCTGTGGTCTTTAAAACAGAAGCACAGAATTGGAGAAGGTCTCTTTATTGCCATGTCCAGGACCCCAATGTCACAAGACTCAGGCCATAAAATCACTTTCATAAACTTATTGGAGCTCACTCTAGCTGTATATGTTTTGCTCTACCTCTTTCACTGAAAAGCTTCTTCTGATACTCCCCTCTCTAAAACTCTCAAGAAGTCTAACCACTACAAAGCATTTAGCATACAGCCACTTTATACCTTCATCTCCCTGCCACTGTTGTCTTCTAAACAATTCCTTTCCATCCTGATGGACTATTTCTCCAATAACCTATGTGAGATAATTCACTTAACAACAATCCTATCTTCACTTGCACAGACAGGCAAAATCCAAGGAGTACTCAAGCATTATACAAAGGGCAATGACAAAAAGAAAAACTATACAGGCTTGGAAATAGGAAGCTTAATTATTGGTTATGATTATGCCTTGAAATAACTTATCAAGGAGCATGTTTTAAGTGTAGCCCAGAACTGCAGCTAAGTTCTGTTGGGCTGCTGTGACTGACAGTGTACATTCTGTCATGGGCAGAATAGAATCTTTGCACAAGGCTCATCAAGGAGACCCTTCCTTTCACTATAGAAAGGATATACATGCTTTCTAAACTCCTTCCCAGAGAGCACTCTTGGTGTGCTGGATCCAAACCTAGCCCCAGATTTGGCCAACAGTTTATTGCTTTATATTATACTTATTTCTTTACATTTATATTATACTTTATTATACTTATTTCTTTACATTTGTATTATACTTTATACTTACACCTTTGCAACTGAAGGATTATGTAGATGTACTTGAGCCTTTATATGACTTTGTCCTGAATGGTTAAGGATGGCAAACTAAATGTATTTATATAAATAAATGTTTTCTTTAAATAGATCATAATGATAATGATTAGACTAAAAGATATTAATTAGAATTACTTTCTATACAGTATAGATAGCTGTAAATACTAGTATAGTGCACTATTTATTGAGACAATATTGAATCAGTTATATTAAAGTTATAAAAATAGTAACTGAATAGATATTGATGTTCCCCACCTATTCCGATGACCATGGACACATCTCTTTCTTAGCCATGAGGACTAACCCTGAGGGCTGTGACTATTCAGGGAAGGAATATCCACATGCACTCTGAGAAGGAATATGTTAGGGGATCTTACCATTACAAAGTGGGACTGGGCTTTTACAGGGTAAAGTGAGTATCAGTCAAATGTCTCTAGGCCGGCTGTGTCAAGTCAGCAGCTTTGGATAAGATACCAGTAATATCACTGATTCTTTTATCAGGAACCTTGTATCACCATAGACAGTTTGCTGGGAAACATTTTCCTCAGAATGTTTTAAGTTTAGAATTGATGCATCAAGCTAGTTTCAGCATTCTGCAATACCAAAAGCAGTGTGTGCCCTCTCCTCCATCCATCACTGATGGCTTTTTCAAATAGAGTATTGTTCAAGCTGGCTTACCTCCACTAGGCAGAGCATTCTGCTACAGTAACTGAGGCATATCAATTAAAGAATGAAGCTCAAAACATGCAGATCAACAAAAGATGCATCTTCTATCAAGAGCTAGCACACAGCAGATGCGTAGATTATGTCATTTAACTGGAAAAAATCCTTGACTTTTTCTGCATGGTACTGGGATCCTGTCTGTCTAGTAGATTTTAGTAATCACTTCTTGCCATTCTATGTTCCTATTCTATATTCTATTCCTACTTTTCTGTGTTTGAGTCAAGAAACTTTTAGCTTCTGCCCATGAGCAATTCTCCTGTCAGGCCAAATTCAAAACTAAATCTCAATGTTTTAGACAATAACCAGTCACCTGGAAGCACTAAGAGTGTTACATTATCCCAGTGCGCAGTCCAGAATAATGGTGTCTGCAGTATTAGAGAGTGGATAGGTTGGCAGTCACTAAGTGAGCAGGGTTGGCTTGTGCCCTGAACTGGCTTCCACAGTATGTCTTCTTCAAGTCTGCCTTTGCTGAAACAAGAAAATGCTTCCCAGCCTTGGACTTTTTCCACCCTTGTCTCTGCAGTCTGGGCTACAATTGTACAACTCAGCATTGTGGAAATCCTGGAGTACCCAAACCAAGAAAGTTCCTGCCAGTGGAGGTTCTAGGAGGAAAGGGGCTCTAACCTTCTGTCCTCTTGCAGCAGTTGTCATAAGCATTTTTAGTTCAGTTAGAAAACTGAACAACTTTGTAGAAATGAAGCTTAAGACTTTTTATAAAGGACCAAACAGTCCTTCATACGCTCTAACATAGTGGCAATTAAAACAACCGAGTGAGTAGTCTCTTCTGAAGTTAAACCTATGTTAAGAGAAGAATGTATGGGACAGTAGAAATAATTCTGAGTCACAACATATACTAATCCTCATTATCTCTGTGAAATTTCATTTGAATAAGCTTCACAGAAGGGAATTCACCAGATTCTTCATCTCATAGATTTGGTGAATTAGATTCTGCACCTGGTTTTGAGCATTTAATTAGTCCAGAAGCAGGCTCTAACCTTCTAACCTCTGCCATATTCCCCAGTACCTCAGCAAGGTCTGCCCTCTGTGGCTTACAATTTACTTCACAACTCTTTAGGAGTGTAAAGTACATGCATAGCAAATATAAAGAAAACCAAAGACTATGCATGGATGCTAAATATATTACTTCTGCTCAATAAATTTTCAGCTGTCTTGCTCTCTCAGTTTTCTTACCAGTCTGAGGCAGATCTAGGACTGAAGTATTTTGGGGATTTACAGAAATACCGCTCAGCAGTTACAGCTTATATGAACTGGGAAGTTCTTTGAGCTCACAGTGCTTCATCTGACTTTATTATTTTCACAAACATTCTGTGTCCCTCTTGTAAAAAAAACCAAAAAACTGTTGACCTTCTCCTGTTCCCTATTCTCATCAATAGCTTCTCCTTTCTCAGCAACTTTCTCAAGTTTCTACATCTATTTGCTGATAGCTAGCCTCTGTTTTGCCAGATTTGCATAGTTAAGACTGACAGTTATCTATTTTACTTCTGTAAAGAGTATGCTCATCATATCACCTGAAAAAATGTTGATTTCATACACAAATAGTGTTGTCCAGAAGCACAGAAATCCTTTTACTAGCAATGTTGTGATTAGAACCACCAATTTCTGACTAGATTAAATTCCCCACCTCACTGGTGAAAGCCCCACCTTCACCAGCTGAGATTCAGGTAATCATCTCACCCTACTGCTTGAAACATGTGTAAGGACTGAGCTTAAACCCACTCTGCAAATTTCTGCTGCATCATTCCTTATGTAAGGTGGTTTTTAACACAGACTGTGCATGAAAGAGGTTTCACTTCTCACTTGGAAAAGCCCTTTAAGGAAATGTGCTTGTGAGTAAACAAACATTAGCTGCTGAAAAAACATAATGAAAATAAAACCAATAGTAGTTCTTTAAAGTCGGCTTTTAACAATATTTGCACAATGCACTTATCTGTTTCAGCTACTTTTTACCATATGGCTGCATATGGAGTTTGAGTGAAATATTACCAAGCACTTGCTATAAAAAAGTATTACAGAGCATGCTTGACGACTTGGTGAGGAAAACCAGGATATCTTGTTGAACCAGATCATAGTAATTGATCTGGGGTTGTACTTTTGGACTACATGTTCAGCAGAGTAAAAGAAAAGTCAGATAATTACAGAGGATATGGAAGTTAATTTGAGCAACAAATTTACAAAGGTCATTTTGGATTAGAAGGGGGTTGCTTAGTTGATCCCCATCTCCATAGAAAGAAAAGACAAGCTTGAAGTTAGACTTATTTCTGTAACAGTGACCCTTTACTTTATAGAGGTGGTTTGTAAAACCTTTCTCTGTAACTATTTTGTAGATATCTGTTTTGGTGGCAAACAGTATGGTTTTAACATAGTTGAAACAAATGTATGGAGATGAATAGAGGTGGTACATATCAGAAAGGGTAACAGAACCTTCTCATTCAAGGCATCCTTTCTGCCAGATGAGAGTACAAGTAAGTTTTAAAATCAAACTCTAAAAGCACCTAATAGTTTTATGGTCTAAGAACACCAGCTCTAGACTCAGTTTAAAGTTCAAAACTATAAAAAAAAACCAAACGAAAAGACAACAACACCAAGTGAACAAAAATCCCCAACAACCCATTTTTTTTAAAAAGAACTAATGAACAAAATAAGAACCACCAAAAAAACCCCATAAAGACAACACTACAAACAAACAGAACACAAACCCTTCAAACATTTTGCAGGCAGTTTATCTGTGCATGAAAATTCACTTCAGCTGTTTGGAGATAACAGCGTGTAAAACAGTAGGTGAAGCAGAAAGAACTGAGATTCATCATATCACACACATATCATATGCTCAATGGTTTACAGTAAAAGACAAGCTTTGCATTAATTCATACACATAGATAGACTGGCCAAGCTGCTGACAAGCTAACTTTCACATACTCGGATGTGTCAGTCAGCTTCATAAGCATCCAGCAAGAGCTGGTGAAAATAGAAACTCATGAGCCAAAATACATTTCTAGGTATTCCTACAGTTATTGCAGTAAACAGTGCTATTGTTCCATTCATAATGAAATGGAGTGGATAGAGGATAGGAGTGTTGTGGAAATCTGTGGAAAACTGCCTCTGCCTAGGGATGCCAGGTGAAACCTTTCAGTGTACAATCCAGTAAGAGGGAAAGCAGGGTAGTGTTTGCCATGCCTGTAAAATGGTCAGGAAACGCTACCCACACTTGTTCTTTGCTGCCCACACCAAGGCAGCGTTTACTCACCAGTAAAAGAAAATGACAGAATGACTTCCATTTCAGTAAGGAAAAATAGTATCACCATAATCTAATTGCAAAGACTGTGGTGTACTATTTATGTTCATACACATAAATTCAGTTTTAATTACTCCCATTTCATTTTCATGAGGAAAAAAATTGACAGAAAAATGCAAAATTAACTCTTTGCAGGAGCACAGTGGGTTAGATTTCACCATGGCTGACAGAAGGGCTCATAGTTCCCAGCAGAGTACAAATCTGAAACAGAGAAATTGCTTGACATTGTGCACTGACCCTTAAATACTGCTAAATGGTGCAAGCCTGGGCAGTTCTCAAGCTGCTATTCCATATTAAGCTAACCAATGCTTCAAGAAGCTGCCTCTAATTCTCTGACATCTGCCTGATTTGCTGTGTCAGCAAGGACATAGGACATATCAAGCCTAGTGTGGATTTGTCTCAGCTGAATCCAGCAGCTACAAAGGGTAATTAAAGGTGCAGTACATAGATATTAAAGTACAGATGATGTCAGAGAGAGGTTAGTTTTCCTCTTCTATGAGTAAAATCAATGGTAGTCTTTTTAAAATCACTTGTCCAAGAGAGAATGACTGCTGATGTTCTGGTCTCCTAGCAGCACTGTAGGTCCACCTTTTGCTGGAATAAATAGCTGCAAAGTGACACTGGAGAAGCAGTGTCCCATCCAAATTAAGAGCAAGTGCTGTGAAAAAAGCTTAAAGCAGAGGAACTCTTTTAAGAGCAAGATCATGACAGAAGTAGCATCCATGTGAACACCTTTCTTCAGTCTTGTTACATCTATCTTAGTAGAAAACACAGCTTACCAAAGCCACCGGTCTTCCAAAAACAGTAAGACAAATCTTACCCAGTGCCCTTGCTTCACTGTCTCATGACTATCTAAGAGGCAAAGTTGTTTCATTTTGGATGTTTTTTTCCAAATCTGGCATTCCAGTATTAGGAAGTAAAGCAGTCTGGCATGGAAAAGGCTCTGAACAAAGGCAAAAAAATAACCAATGCAGAAACCTGTCTGAGCTTCACTTGTGCTTTGAAATCCATCCTAAAGAAAATTCTGTTGAATAATCAGTTCACATTTGAAACTTCATACTGTCATGTAGCATAGCATCACAGTTCATGTTTTTTTTCCTACTTACTTGTGAGGTTTTATACAGACATGAAAATTCTCTACTGCAACATAATGTTGATTTATTGCTGGATTGTGGTTTTTTTTCTGTCATTTGATTCAATTTCAACCTCTTATTGCTCTTGTGATATGAAATATCTTTTAGATGTTGCCATGATCATGGGTACTTGTGGTAATATCCAGTTTAATGTGTTAGAAAATTTGGAAATGGGATATGGGCATGTAATGATGTTTCCACCTGAAAGATAATTGACATAAGATAGCATTTATAGCTTTTATTCAAATTCCACAAGATGTTTGAATACAAGCACCATTCCTGAGACTGAAACAGTTAATAAAAACATTCTTAAACAAAAATCCCTTGAGCAACAGTAAGTCCAAAAGTCAAGTGTTACAAAGGCACTCAGATGACCTCTCCACAGTGGTGGTAAATCACACTTCATGACAGCATAGTTCTCAGTAACTTCAAGAAGGTATGGTATTTGAGGAGGCATAGCTTTCCATCGCTGCAGTGCAAATACATCCCCATGAGTTCACTGTTTATCCCAAGACTAAAGTGCTGTAATTTTCTTTTGACGTCCCCAAAACAGATAGAAAAAGTGCAAATTATGGCACGTAAGATGAAGAGTTTTCACAGACCCACAGTCCCACTGTCTCTTGAAGCTGTGACAGCTGACAAGTATAAAGCCTCAGTCTGAGCGCTAAAATCATCGCCTTAAAGAAAGAAAATGCAATAGCATTAGTTTAAAAATCTGCAGTGATTTAAGACAATAAAAGGGCTGATTTTAAAAACTGAGTGGTAAAAAGTGAAAGCTCAGTCTTCTGCATCATGCTGATGTTACAGTGGTTCCTTAAAGCTGTCATAATTTACAAGAACATCTGCTGCAATCTTTTCTGAGGAAAAGATTATCTCTTTTATCTGTAGTCCAAATTCTGAATTTTCTATTATAACAAAGCTATCACTCACTATATCACTTATATATAAGTGATATAAATATCACTTATATTCAGCCATATAAATGAAATGAATATTATAAATTCAGCTATCACTGAATTTATATTCAGCCATATAAATGAAATAACAAAACTGAAATATTTTTAAAGGGCACCCATGGTAATGTTTCTTAGTAAATACGTGCATATGATTAAAAATGTACAGAACTGGGATTTCAGTGATTAGTTTAAATGTCCTGCATATTCAGTTCTGTTACAGCTTGAGCTGTAAGTTAAAACTGGTAACATTAATAATCCTTGTTCCTGTAATCAGGACTGTATGGGTCATTTCCAAGACACTGATAAAGTATGCTTCAGCTACCTACTCATGATGGAAAAAAGGTTCTTTCCAGGGTTTCTTAAAAATATCCAGTGCTGAGAAATATAGATGTTTGTCATCTGACTTACTGCATGCTGCAAGTAAGACGAAGTTTTTTGTCATTAAAATGAAGAAGTAAAACCACAAACAGCAGCCTCGTCTCCTTTAATTTCTTCATTTCACTAAGTGCACAGAAGAGGCAGCAAGGTGGAAAAATTCTACAAAAGTAATACAAAAAGCCAGGGGAAGCCGAGCTGTGCTCAGACAATATGCACTGGAATTGTGTCCGGACATGCACCAATGCTGTCCTCCAAAATGCTGCTTGCCTTGCGCTTGTGTTCATTAATGCATGGCATGATGCCACTAAAGTTTCACACTGCCACATGAAAAATAAGAATGAGACTTTGACTGCAGCAAGGTTTCTGGAAGGTGAAAGTGTCTTTCTGAAAGAGTTATTTTACCTGTAATATCTACTGATGGCAGTGGATCAAACAGTTACTGTTAAGATTCAAACATGACAACCTGAGGCAATTTGTAAATCAGTGGCTTCATGCCCTCTTCATCCAAACTAGCTTTCACCTACAAAATTCATTTTTAAGGTGGCAACTTCTTAATGTATTTTTTTACAAGTGAGAAAGGTGGGTGGATTCTCAAAAAACTCCTGTCCTTGGAAAAGCCCTGAATTGTCTCTGTGTTCACTTGGTTAGCTACATCATAGTATTACTCCATTTGTGCTCCTTGGTGGCCTCAGGGCTGACCTCAATATGCTATGTGAGGGTCTGCATGGACACCAAGGAATTATGGCTGAACCAAGTAGATCTGAACCTAACACTGGCCACAGCCTCTCTCCTCACAATGCATTAACCTGTCAAGCTTTTATCTATAGGTAACAAAACTGATTTATTTAAGTAGGTGTATTAAGACTTTTCTTGTCATATCAATTTATAGTTTTCTATGGTGGTTTGTTTTTTCTTTTTTCAGTTCAATTTTAGTACAGAACAGTTAGATGCATCCTGACAGTTTTTAAAGTATTTTCTTCCCTCTGAAATGTAAAAAATCCTGGACAAGAAGACAAGAAGTAGCCTAGGAGATGATATAATATTCTAGATAAATGAGGTATCATTTTATTTGTTATTAAAACCTGTAGCCTGATCCAAAGTATAACAGACTATATCCACAATAAAAAACTCGATGCTTTCCAAAACAACCAGATTTCTGAGTATCCTTCTCAGCCAAAACTACCAGAACCCCACTTAATATATGGAGGTATGTGCTGAGCTATGTATGAAAGCTATTGGTACCTCAGTGAAAGGGAACCAATATTTATAAATTTTTGCGTTGCCCAAGAGAAAGCCAACTTTAGAAACTGCATTCGTAAAATAACTCATAAGAATTTAAACTGAAAACTACTCTCTGTTTCACTGTAATATTATTTAGGTTGCAATCTACATATTTTTTTCAGATTTTAAATGTAAGAAAGAAAAACCTGTAAATGTAAATTTAAAGAATTGGCTATGACTTACTGTTCTCATCCTTTGCATTAGGGTTCAGTTTTCTTTTCCTGTCTGTTAAAGTAAATACATGCAAGTTTAGCTTAAACATTTCTAGATTTGAAAGAAACAATTCAATTCAACAAACATTTAGATTAAGCTGAGCTGCAAGCAGTTAAGTATATTATTAAATCATATCAAATAAATAAACTTCTCTACATTTATTTTCTTTTTCAAAACTTTGATCAGATTCTGAAGTCATAATGTTAAGACTCTCTTTTCATTACTATAAATGTATTTGTCTGGTTTACTAGATTCTGTTCATGTGAAAGAAAATACTAGAATAATATTCTGTTTGCTTTATTACTTTTGCATTACTGCACAGGCAAACAAGGAAAGAAATACTAGGATAGTCCTGTATCGCACCATTTTAGTTATATTGCCATAATGGAGTTGAAAAATAAAAATTCTGTATAAGACACTGAGGCCACAATGTCATTGTAGCTGTGAAGAAAACACCATTCAAGCTGTGCTTTTACAGGTGCTCCTTACCCAAAGCAAAGTTTGTTTGTATTCTGTGCATAATACTGACTGGTCATTTTTAAAAATGTATATTTCTATACACTTTGTCTCACAGAGTAAAATACAGTGAGGCAAATTATCCAAGATTTCATTTTCTACCCTCTTGTCATCTAGAAATAAAATGGTCAGTGACCAAGTCCTGTAAGTGTGTCTAGAGTTACTCAAATTTCCTAAGGGTTGTTCAAAGGAAAAAATAAAGAAATAGTGAGAAGTTTCACTATCTGAAGTAAAATGTACCTTTTTTGGGTTTCTCATTCTTGAATGATTTTCTCTTCTGAAATGTTATTAGTGCAGAGAGAAGGACAGCTACAGTCACACATATGGGGATGATTAAAGAGATCAGGATTTTTTGTCCACTATACTGTGTACTCGTTAAAGCTGTCAAAAACATGAAAAGAAAGTAAATTTATCACTTAGAAACCAGGCATTTTTTATCAAGTTATCAGCTCTGTTTCTCTGAAGTCTTGCTCTGATTGAACAAAGGATTTTTAAAATTCATCAGCAGAGTGGTTTACACTCATTTTATGAATAATATATTCTGAAGCATTACTGTAAAAAGCCTTACAAAAACAAGTCAAATAATTTGTAAGGCGTTTGAGTCTGGCACCATTGTATTGGCCTTTGAAATATTTATATATATTGATGAGACCCCCTCTCAGTCTTATCCAAACTAAACAGTGTCTCTGCATAAGAGAGATGCACCAGACCCCTCATCTTCCTTGTGGCTGTCGCTGAACCCTATCCAGTACCTCCTTCCCTCTCGTGTCCTGAGGATCCCAGAAATGGGCACAGCACTCCAGATGTGGCCTCACTACTGCTGAGTAAAGAGGTAGGGTCATCTGCCTCGACCTGCTGGCAATGCTCTTCCTAATGTGCCCCAGGATACTATTAGCTTTCTTGGCTGGCTCATGGAGAGCTTTTTGTCTGCCAGGACTCCCAGGTCCTTTGCAGAACCACTTTGCAGAGGTCAGACCCCAACCTGTGCTGGCATGTGAAGCACTTTCTCCCCAGGTGCAGTAGCTTACACTCAGTTCAACCTCATTAAGTTTCTCTCTGCCCAACCCTCCAGCTGATCAAGGTCTATGGAATGGCAGCAGAGCCTTCAAGTGAATCAGACACTACCCCCAGTTTAGTGTCACCAGCAAACCCGTGGAGGGTGCTTTTGATTCTATTGTCGGGGTTCTTGATAAATTGAATAAGCCTGGACCTAGTATTGATCCTTGGGGAATGCCAATGGCAGGCTTCCATCTTGATTCAATTCCTCTGATCACAATCTTCTATGCTTTGTTGTTTAACCAGTTCTTGGTCCTGTTCATCTAACCCACATTTCCTGAGCTTACCCATGAGGGTATTATGGGAAAAAGCCTTGCTGAAGTCAAGGTAGACAACTAGCTAGAACAACAGAACAAAAACTAGGAGACTATCAGGGAGGATACCCGTGCAGCTGAAAAGATTCCCTCTGTACTGGCAGGAAAATAAAGAAAGCTACCCTAAAATTAAAACATATAGAAAAATACAGACCGGTTTGTTGGACTGGAAGCTGGGACTTCAAATACATAAATTATACTGACTTATTCAGTTTCCCAAGAATCAATATTAGACTGATTTCTAGGACTGAACTCCAGTGATGGACCATGATGCACGTATGAACACTGTTGTGTACAAGTTCAAGGTCATACAAACCTAAAGTGGAAATGTAAGCTGAAGTTTCTCCATTCAGTTCTTTATTCCAGAAGACACAGGTGTAGTTCTCACTCATGTTTGGTTTGATTGTGAGGATGCTGGTGACATTGTAGAGGCCATCTGCAGTCAGTGTATAGGTGGTATTTGCAGGTCCACTGAGATTGAAGTTCTCATGTTGCCAGAAAACCTCTGCCAGAGGAAAGCCTTCTGACTGGCACATAAAAACAAACGTGTCTTCACCTGGTATTCTCATTACTTGAGTGTTTATTCTCTTGTAAGATGCTGCATAAGAAGTTGTTGAGTGAAATTGTTTTCACTTTCCCTGCTTTCCTTTAATGCTATGTATTGTCTCTGGGTATATCTGTGGGACGGACGCTTATTTAAAATTATGAAGGATATTTTGTAAAACAATGCAAAATTGTTTCTTCCATGCTTACCATGCCTACAGCAAAAGAACATGCTCCAGTACTTTTTGCAGGACAGTAGTTGACACTAAATTTATAATTTATTAAGACAGAGGAGACAAGTGGAATCTTATGGGACCCTTATTTTCACTTTTAAAATATGCCGCTTCCAGGAAGACTGATTTTCATATTTGTTTTAGTATAGCTTATAAACAGTGTAATATTTTCATCATATTATAACAAAATTGACTTTTCAGAGGAACTAATGTGGGTCTTAAGAATGTCTATTTTTGCATTTGATAAAGACTGTTATTTAAATATCTGTGTGGGAAACTAATGCTGCCTTGCATAACACAAACACACAATTAGTGGGAAATACCAGAAGTGTTTTCAAAGATCTGGTCTGTCATGCTGGAGGGTGACCCATCAAGGCGGGGGATCAAAGGAGAGGAGGGAGGTGGTGACACTGGAGAAGAGGCTGTAGAAAGAAGGGGACAGGAAGAAGGATGGAAAGAGAATGGATGCTGTCCCTCCCTGGCACTGGGTGCTCCTGGAGGAGCTCAGCTGTTGAACAAAAGGCTAGCCACCTCTAAGACAACTGCTTTGCTTCAGCTGGGCACGGACAACAAAGTTTTGGAAAAACAACTAGCAACAAATTGCTTCAGATTAAATAATTTCTATGAATTTGTAGGAATTAAGTAGAGACATCTCAATGAGTGTACATTTACATTTAATTTAACCACTCACCTTTTACTTCCAAAGCAATGTACTTGTAGTCCACTCCCTGGTACTCAATGAGACAAAGGTATGACCCTGCATCTGTGATCTTCACATTGGTGATCTGAAGGATGGCTCGTCCCAACTTCAGTTCACGGTGCAGAAGTGATGCTCTTCCTATGTAATCAGGATGTTGAGACGGATGGAGTACCTTCCCATTACGGAATGTGTACACTTCTTTTGATTTCAACCAGCCCTGCCTTTTCTGCTCCCAAAGAACAGTCAGAAGTCCTAGATCTATGGAGCCATTCACAGGGAATCTGCATTCCATGGTCACATTGCTCCCATACTCTGCAGTGTAGAGCTGTTGAGGAACTTCAACTGTAAGTAAAGCTGTGTGAGGAAAAGAGAACAGTTCAGTTAGTTTCATCATATGTTCTGATTTTCTTTAAATGTGTGCAAAACCGTGTCAGATACTTTATACAGATAGTCAGAAATATATGGTTACTGATTTGACTAAATGTTTTAAGCATTTTTTGTTCATATTCACACTAATATTTTTACCATATAGTAATTATAGCAAATAATCTATATTCTGTACTGATTACAGAATCTGAAAGATGAGGGCAAAATGACCTAGTTTGGGGTTTTGTGGGTTTTTTTCACATTTTATGAGTAACTTAAGGCTAGGCCAGTGGTTACACAGGGACCCTTTTTATCAGACTGTGATATGTTCTCTTAATGTCCTAAATGTAGTAAAACCAACAATTAATTGTGGAAATTGTACATCTAATTTCATTATCCTTTACAAAAAGACAGATCAGTGTTACTCCTGTGAAACAAAGTTGCACTGGATAAACGTGTATAGTTCAGAATTGCTATGTAGCAATTACAGTCTGCACAAACCTGGAACTGTATCAATTGATGTCATACATTTTCTCAGATACATGCAACAATATTACAGAAAATACATCAAAATAATCTTAGCCATACACCCAATCTGAAATTAATATTGTTATGAATATGTTGCCACTTTAGAGTGTACTTGATATGGCAGTGTTATTTATAATACATCATTCAATATACCTTGTTACTACTATCTTGTTACTACATCTCGGATGTACCATATATTGGTAGACAATTCAGGATTCCTCAGTGAGTACTTGGAAGTGTTGGTAGCTATATTCCAAAGAGAAGTCCATGCAACTGCTCATGTATTCTTTTTATTGTATGTGTCTCTGAAATACTTACAGGGAAACCTTAGCATTGCTAGGTTACCCTTAGCAATGTTTGTTTATTCATTCTAATACAACTGTAACAAGGGAAAAAATTACGTGAAAAGCGCCAATCTCCATCTGGGTTTTAGCCAAGCTGCTTCTTCTACAGACATGGACAGGGGAACACAAGTGATTTTACTTCACTCTGCCTCACACTGAGATTGTTATGTTTCCCAGTGGGCGCTGGTTGCTTTGGTCATCATCCCTCTCACAGCCGTGCCACTGCTGCTGGACACCTCAGCTGCCAATACACAATATGTTAAAGAAGCCTGACTCTGGAAAGTGATGGACACGTGTCCTGTGCTCAGACAGTGACAGTGCCTTCTATAAGATGGAAAGCAAAGGCTCCAGACATTACAGACCATTCATACAAGTATCGCTGGAGATGCTGAAGCCCACATACTAAAAGCTGCACTGGTTCTGCTAGTAGAATTGGAAGGCACATTTTCTCTTACCTGAAACCATGGAGAACTGTGTTTCCAGCAACAATATTGTGAGGATCTGGAACATTTTCTCAGGTAGAACTGAAATAAAAGTAGGATTGCATTAGAACTTGCAACACCTGAGGCAGATCAGGGCCATGCTAGCCTTTAAAATGAATCACAGCTCATAAACAGCAAAACCAGAAGCAAACACTAGGCTACCAGCAGAAACAAGGAAAATCCTTACTAGAGCAATTCATGCACACACAAAGAATATGAAGCAATGGCAATGAAACAGTGGCAATAAAGAGAAATGAAACGTTTCCATAACTTCACTGATGACATTTTCAGGATTTGTAGTTTGCAAGCAGTTTTAAGTAGTCTGAAAGGGAATTGCAACTTTGATTGAAAATCTCTCCATGCAGGAGAGATTAATGAACAAAAACAAGCAGATTTTTAAACTGTCTGTACTAACAAATGTCTAGTTTACAAGATTTTTAACCCTGCTTTTGTTTCAACTCTGTTTTGCATGGGGTATTTTGCAGTTTCTTATTGCCTTAAACCTAAAGACCAGGAAATACCTGGCAGTGAAAATCTCAGAATGGGTAAATTGAAGTTTGCTTCAGAAAGGATTAGAATAAAGGGTTACTGCTGCTATTCTTTCACTTTACATATGGCAATGTCTGACATGTACAAATTGCCTTGTATTACTGAAAGTAAACCAACAATACATTTTGCAATAATGCAAAAGAAGAAAGTACGGTGTTAGAAAGAGTATATTTGTGTTCCAGTAGCAAGCAAACTGTCATATATTTTTCATACTATTGTATACAGATCAACATAACTAAAAGGAGAAAAAACCCAAACAACAAAAACATCAGGGGCAAAATTTATAACAAAGCTAATGAGAGAAGACAGAAGAATTATTTTGACTAAATCTTGCTAACATGCCTTATAATCTGAAAAAAACCCAGTGAATAAGATCCAGAAATAAACTACAAGGAAGTAAAGAAGTGAAGGAACAATTTTAGACTTCCTCAGAGTTAGACTTACTGGAGGAGGGGTTTAATTTTACTTCCCTATTATTTTGTGGGCTCAGCTTGAAACATTCTGGTTCCAATTTTCTCAGGTGCAGCATTTCTCTCATTGCTTCTACCCTTCAGCTTTCAGTATCTTGGAACATGAGGCTCAAACTTTAGCAAATTAGCAGCCAAAATTATGGGACTTTTTCTGGAAATTTAGACCTTAATCATAGGATATCACAAATAATGGTTGACATGCAAACTACTGTAATCAGACTCATATAAATGAAAGCTAGTTACCTTTATCAGAGGATTGAATCTATCACTTTTAATCATCACTTAATGTGTGATGAATCATAATTACTATGGCTGTGTGAGAAAGGAGCTAATAAACATTATCAGTATCTCTGTTTTCCAGATGCAGAAGTAAAGATGGTTTCTATTTACCATCCTCAGTCTCCTGCTATGCTCTCTTTGCCACACAGCTTACCTAGAAGAAGATGGACATAAGGAGAAGAACTGGATGGAGAATGGAACAATATTTCACATCAATGTTTAGGTCCCTGGATTAACCTTATGTGAGACATTTTAGGTATTCTGCTCTCTTTTTATAGTTCAGAGTACATTGAGAATGCAGAGCATGTTTATTTCATAATGCAGGGAATAGAATTTTTAAAAATACACTTATTACTGATAATAAAAGTAAAAAGATGTACAATCAAAGCCCCAGCAGATAATCATGACTATTAAATATCAAGTCAAGCTTGCCTGCCCAGAGGGATTAGTTTTAGAACAGCAATACACATAATATAAATACACAAAAAAATTCAAATATGTATTTATTTAATAAAATAAATTAAAGGTAAATATTTTACTTGTGATACAGAAAGCAGTCATAGAATGCTTATGGGAATCAGGAAGGATCTATGTTAGAAAGATCATAGACCTATTAGCATAGATGTGCATTAGAAACATTAAGGATTTGTCAGCAAGGATCTGTGTTAGAAGGCATCCTTCTTTATTTCCATAATCTCGCTAGCAGACGTCAAGTTGTGCAATCTCAGTGCAATCTACCTATTGCACTTCATCATGTGGCTCTGACATACTTCCACAGAGAAGTCTGCACCAGCATCTGGAATGTGATTTCTTCTGAGCTTGCACTACTAACCATTCATGAAGTTACAGAGTAACCCTCATGTTCTTCCTGCTTTTCATAAAACACTTGTCATGCCCTGCTCTTCAGTAGTCCTTGCACACAACTATCCTAAGTTATCCTAAGCTTATGCACAGCACTGTCTTTTGTTTTTCTGTTAAGCAAAAGGCCACTTCTAAAATGTATTAATCATATGCCTGTTACACATTCACAGGGATAACAGAAGGAATGCTTCCATAAAAATCAGCACTTAATGCTTATTGCAGCATAGCGAGGAAATAAAAATACACGTCTGAGAATAGTAAGGAATAACATGACATTTCAAGAGCAATTCAGGTGCTATCAGTGAATTGATTTCACAGACCAACCTGCAGAAGAAAAAGCAAGTGCTCTGTGATTATGAGAGTTAAGTTAAAAAAACCTTGGAAAATTGAGGTGGTGAAAAGCATCACATCAAACTTCTAAAGATCATAGTGGCTTTTTATGAGTTGTAATACTTTTAATGGAGGTGTAGGGCCAAAACAAAAAGGTTGAGCTGGATCAATAAAAATAAAAGTATGACTATGATCAGGGAAAATGAGGAATATAACCTTATCTTTTTGTACAACTTTTTTGCTTTCCTGAAAATACAAAATTGAAACCCGTACTTGACTTCATTGGCCCACAAGTAACATATTCTGGTAAATTTTCATAGTGAATGGTGACTGAAATCCAGATGGCCATGATAATAAAATGCTAAAATTCCACCAAAGATCAAAATGATACTAAGTGTTGTTTTTCTTCTCTTAATTCATTCATTTGGTTATGCCTGTGACTTTTGTCCTGGTCCCAGTTCATGTATACAGAGAGTTTATAATACTTGTCTCAAAATAGGGGTAATTTTTGCCTTTACTTAACATAAAATCTAAAGTGACTATCCAAAATCCTTCTTGTAAGGAGTGAGAAAGATATTTCTTGTTCCTTTGGAAAATTTAGACTCATTATTCCCATTTCAAACTGTACAAGCTCTATGTTCCATGCAACAATATTATTCCATTTTCAACATGGTGTATAGACTTCATTCCATTCTACATTCAGAGATGAAAAGGTGCTTATCTTGACAAGGCTGGGTGTTACAAGAATGCTCTCAGGAACTTAAACTAGTGACAAAATATGAACATGAATCTGCTAGATGCTTAAACCGTGGAGCTCTTGACCAAAAGTTGGGGTAGTTTGTTTAAGTAGCTGTGCTTTGTATAGACCTCTTTGCTGTTTTATTGTTATTTAGTGGATCCTGTTTTCAGAAAACACTCATGTGAACCACAATGGGTTAGCAATCTTATGACCAATCTGGTCATAAGAGTTAGGATTGATTTGGCATTAGTGACAACTCTAACAATGTTCATAATTTTAAGTTTATAGGAAGTATTTTAAGCAAATGAACATGAAGATCACAGAATATTTTGCAGTCTACTCCTTCCTAATAAAGATTGAAGCCCACATATGAGTAATGTAAATTAAATCCTATTCATTTCATTCATGAAAGGTCATAATGCTTTTCTTAAATAAAAGAAGCATCTTAGTTTAAGATTCTCTGGAACTACCTTTATTACTGCCCTTGGTGTGATTGCTCTTGCACATGGCCTTTAAAGGTTCCTTCTAACTCAAATCATTCTGTGGTTCCGTAGTTCTGTGATAATTCCCAATACAAATATAACAAAAGATGCTGACCAAAGTCCTTGTGCTGTCCATTAAACAAAACAACCAGAGGCACAGTCACAGATTCTGGGGCCTTATAGTCTAATAAATAATGGAAAGCCCTTTCCTGGAAACATTGTTTCAGCTACTAAAATGTTTGTATTCCAGCAAATGGATGATTTAGAACAGTAAACACATTTAATGCCTGCATAATGAAACTTAGCAGCATTAAGCAAGGAGTTTTGTTGACCAATATCTTCCACCAGAATAATCAGAACAGTTCGAAAAACTAAAGAAGCTTTCAAGCACACTGGCTTTCCTCCAGGTTTAAAGCAGGAGTCAAATCAACACAGAAGTTCACAATAATCACTCAGATTTCATTCTGGAAGATGAAAGTATTAAAAGACTAAGGAAGGGGTACTTGGTCCTTTTATAGAAAGCTTAATGGCTATGGTAGACAGACCCTTCTTTGAATTATATTTCCCTGCAGACCAAGGTGTCCCACACAAGTGTTCTTTCAAGGAACATAACTATATATAAGGAAATTAACTCCATGGCTGGGAGCTGCACAGTTGGCCTGTGTCCACTTCCACATGAGCTGTCCCATACATTTTAGCAAACAAGGTGATGCAAGTGGTCTTGCATCCTGAGACATCTTGAGCTGGTAGTCTTTGTTATGGATTTGAAACACCAATATTGCAATTGATCTATCCACTCCAGCATTCAATGTTTTTACTCTGCTACTCAGACTCTGCAACATTATTGAGCTGAGATCAGCTCAGACTATGCTTTTCCTAATCCCTCTCCTTCTACACTCTATTTTATTGTACTGCAAAGCTAGAACCCATACTAAGCACAGAACAGTGTCTTCTGGAAATAACTTAAAATGACAAACTCATCTGAATCACAAGCAATCAAGCTATGTTAACAGGCATCTGGCTTGGCTCTGTTTGACTCTCCCTGCATGAAATGAAGTTTTATGTTCCCTTACTTAGGAAAGAGACTATTTTCTCATGCACCTATGTACACAGCAAAAGATTATATGGTCCCAATCACAGTTTTGTCTCTTTCTGTTACTGAAACTCCCCTGCCTTCTGTGCATTCTGCAACGGAAGCAAGCTTTTTACAACAATTTCCTTCTAATACTCCCATGTTCAGAAAAACACAACCTTTTGACATCCTCATAAAATGGCTCAACTGATTTTGCTTTCAGTGAAGGATCCAGTTTAAAAAAAAGAAACAAACAAAAAAATTAAAGAAAAAAAGTTTAAGAATCCTAGGTCAGAAAATAAACAACAGAATAAACAAAAAAACAGGGATTAGATCCTGATACAAACTACAGCTATTCCATATCTCACAAAGAAAGTACTTTGTTTCTACTTCAGGAATTTCATAATAAACCCTAACCATGCATATAAAATTTGTTGGAAGGCCAGATCTCTAGCCTCAGTATATTCTGTGGACATAATCTCTTGTTCTCATTCTCTCTAATCACCCTTATCCATATACAATCTCACCTGCTGTTCTTCCTCTGTCTTTTGCACACTTGTTGTCGTCCCTTGTTGCCCACCTCACCACACAGGCAATTTATTGTTGAGACAATTGCTTTATTCCTGATGTTTACCTGTGACAGCCTATTTGCATCATTTCAGTCTTCTCTCCATCTCACTTCATCTTTCAGGTGAAAAGACATAATTTCTCACTTCATCCTTTGCTCACACTATCTCTGAATTCTCACTTCCCTGCATTGTTTAAGTGTCATCTGTTGATTATTTTCCACTGTCAGTTTTTTGTTCCATAACAAATACAATCATTCTAATATGGCTGCATTTTTTTTTTTTCTCTAGATACTAGGATAGAATTTGGATGAAATTTTGTTACATTTAAAAAGTGGTCATATATTATAGAACCTTTCAGAGCTTTTCAGCTCTTAGCAACATTAATGAATACAGGCTAAAACTCTGACATGATACACTGCGTATTTTCTTTCATATCTCCAGTTTCTAAAGAAAGATTTCTCAGAGAGGCACAAGAACTTCTCCTCTTTATAGCCTATGCTTTTTCTGGGATGCTGAAGGTAAAAGTCTCCAGACTTGCTGTACAATCAAAACAATCTATTGTCTCCAATAGTTAGTAACTATTAGTACTATTAGTACTAACTACACTGTTGGTGTGTTAGTAGTGTGTTAGTAACAATTAAAAGAAAGTAAACAGGAATATATAAATACGAATATATACAGAGGGTTTTTTCTCCCTGAAGTTCAGGATGAAATATTTACTAAGAACTACATTGTCATGCATAAGTTGAAGAGGCTCACCAGCACCACTTCTCTGCCTTTGCCTGTGATAGAAGGTAGAGTTGCAAGACAGTTTCAGCTTCTAAAAATATCAGGGTTAGAAATTATATGGACCTGTGTTTTAGGATCTGGAACTTATCCAGTCCTTCATTCAGAATCAGAGCCTGTATCTCAGTAAAAATTTTAAAATAAACGTCAGTAAATCTTAAGAATCTAGGAAAAAACTTGCAATACATCAGTCAGAAATACAGGAGATATCAACATGCATTTTATCAGTGTTATACTCACATCAGATCTTTATGCAGGTCATTGCCATCTGATTCATGTAACAGCAAAGATTTTCAAAGCTCTGTCCTATTTGCACAATAGCAGAAACCACCCAACTCTTATGACAGTGTATAACATGCACCAATAGCACAGCTTGTAGGCCGATCTTATTCAGGCTTTATGTCATAAGGAAACTGACTATGTTGGAAGCTTACATCTCTGCATTACTGAGAATGTGCATGCATCCAAAAAAATGTATAAAGCATTCTGCAAAATTTATGTACTCAAATTTTGCTTTTGATTTTACCCATGATTTTTCAGCGGTTTTATAACCATTTAGAGCAGTGTACAACATTGGCATCTGAACTTGCATTTGCTAGGACTGTTCTATATCCATGAAACTGTCAAGTTACATTTTCTTAGCTTTCATCAGATTAATTTTACAAGAATTCATCAAGCAATTACCTAATATTTGCAAAACCCATTTCATCTTAATTTTCATCTAAAGGGATGTTATTACAAAAAAAAAAGTCACTATGAGCCTAGTCAAACACTCTAGTGAGATTGTGAATCTCCATCCTTACAAACGCACCGAACTTTACAGGACAAAACTTGGGCAATTTTTTTAAGATGTCACACTGCTTTGAGTGGAAGATTGGATTAGGTGACTGATAGATCCCCTTTCCAATATAAAAGTATTTTTTTCTATCAAACGACTTTATCAATGGATGCATCATTTCATTTTTCATCACTCTGTCTTTTAATTTATGATGACATCATGAGTGAGAGACATAAAAAAAGATACAGATGCATTTGTGCTACAGGTGGAACACACATACTCTTTTGTCTTCAGTTCTCACTGCTTGTGAGAATTGTGTTCTACCTTAACACAAAAAAAGAATTGTGGCTTTCCTCTTGTGAATCCTAGCTTGTTTAGGATGCTGTATCATGATTGCCTGCCTCACAGATCCATGGTTTATGAAATTATGTCTCCTGCTTCCTACTACAGAGCAAACTGGTTCAACAAATCCCCTGTTACATTACTTTATTTTTTCTCGGTAAGCTTATCATGTGTAGCCCTGTCACACAAAGTAATTCATGGTTAGTCTCACCTTTTCCCAGAAAAACTGCAATGACTTCTTTGGAAGAAGTCAATGATTTGGGTGACAGAAAAGAAACACCAAAATTACTTCACAGTCCCCATCACTACTCATCCCCATCTTCTACTCATTCTGAGCCAGTCCTGCCTACAATATGCTTTTTTCATGTGTTCCTATTTTGGAACAAGGAGATAGCTCAGTGAAATTGCCCAAGAGTCAGTGACTTGCCTTGGGCATCACATGAACCCAATAGCATCTGACTTGACGGGACAATCATTTATTTGTGGGACCAGAGAAATATGGAGAGAGAGAGAGACAGGGAATCTGGGAAAAGATGCTGAAAAATCAGAAGTCCTACTGTTAATGCTTGCAAAAGCAGAAATGCCACTGTTAATGTCTGTGTTGTTTTCCTGGATATCCCATGCTTGAATGATGCACCACTGGTATTTTTTTGGCCAAAGGGGAAGAGGGACATACTCAAAAGTCCTGTAGTTCTGCTTCATGAGAAGCGGCGCAGATCAATAGCAACAGTTCTACTTTTCACATTATTAGATCTTTAATGGAATTGTAATTAGCAATAGCTTTCATATTCCACAAAATTAAATTTTACATCACAAAGTTGGCCACCACACTGGTTTGTAGTTAGATCTGTCAAGTAAATGAGTTCTAAACTGAAATACCAGTAAGCCAATTTAGATTGTGCACATGAACCAGGCTTTTCTGAGATCTTTTGGAAATATAATAATTCTTGGCTACTAGGAAGTAAAATGCAGCTTACTGAAGCTAAGCCTGCTCCTGCTTGCTGCTGTATTTTGTCTTCCAGATATCCAAAAACAGTGTAGTGGCTTGCAAATGTTTTTAACTGAAGGAAAAAATGTTATTACACAAATAGTGCTTAACTACATTTTTGTTAGGGTAGGAAGGATTTTCACTTACCTAGTTCTCATGAACTGTGTTCTATTTTCACTTTAGTGTGTATTTTCCCTCTGTAATGAGCAGAAAATACTTGACCTGAAACCACTTATGGCATTGAAGGATAAACATGTGGACCTGTCTTCCTGTATTCATAAAAGTGAAGCCACAAAACTTAGATTATACTAAAAGTTTAATTTCTAAAGTAAGATTAGAGAAGTTCACCTTTGTATTTCAGAGAACTATAAAATAGAGCTTATTTAGTGAGAGCAGGTCTTTTCGCCTTACCTTTTAGTCACCACCTGTCCTGCTTTTCTAAGGAAATAGCAAAATTTTAGGCTTCCCATCAACCACTCAGGGATTCAAACATTGTCATTTTAGAAGTTAGGGTTCAGCTTCAGAATTTATATTTTTATCCGGTCATTTCATTATCTTACTCCTCTGATATACAACACTTTCAACAGTAACTTGACCTTTCTCTTACTGGGAAAAGAGAAATATAATAGTTCCTGCTGTGCAGTTGAGTTTGATAAAGGCATTAACTTTAGTCCCATAAAACTAAGCCAGCACTGTTATCAGCACTGCCTTGCAAAGGCTGATAAGAACTGACATGAGAAGACTTCACTTTTATTGTAATATGCACACAACTTGTCCAGTCTCAAACAGGAAGTAGAAAGTGAAGAGGTCATCTTGACTTGAAAGGGAATTATTTATGTGGTGATATGATTCCACATTATTGTGCTGAGTCAGTGTTTTGTCTACAAATGGCCCTGGTATTTCAAAAACCCCTCAGCAGATAATTAAAATTTGCCTATCATCTTCAAAGACGCCCAAATTCAAAAAGTACATTGGGAAGCAGTAGGAGATATTCAAGTTCACATAGTAACCTTGAAGAGTTGAATGGGAAGAATCAGTATCAGAATACACAAGGTCTGCAATGAATTAAGGAAATCACTTTGTAGTAAGTATTTTACTTAACTGGGGTTAAGTACCAACCCCATTATGATTATGAGACACATTTCTCTATTCTACTACACAGGACCACTTTCTGATATTATTAAACACAGCCTTACATTAGCTAGCTTGAATACTGGCAGCAGTGAAAATCTGGCATTTATGAATGAGGACTATGTTCACATTCTCGGGACTACACAATAAAGTATTTATTTTTGACTGAAAATAAAACCTGAGTCCAATGAGATTTCAGTTCTCTGCTATCTGCTCTTTGTGGGAGCCATTAGAGGGAAGTCATAGAGGTAGACTCTCTCCTACACCTAAATCTTAGACACTGTTTTTTCTCAGAAATATGCTAACAGAGCTTACACTACTTCTGACAGGTTAAGGAAAACAGGAAAAAACACAAGAAAAACAAAATACGCTTTATTAAAAATAATGCAATTGTGAATACTACTGTAATAAGTTATTTTCACCTGTGTATGATCCCCCCCAAAAAGCTATGCACTTAGCAAAAAAAAGAAAGTTAATGTAATATAGCAATAACTTGTGAAATGGGATCCAGAAACAGTTTTCTTCAGCATTTCTAAGTAATCACAAGTACATGTATTTCATGTCCTAGAAGTAGGTAGATGTTCCTTTTTCTATTTACAAGAAAACAAAATGGCCATCTAAAACACAGGCTGTTCCTCCTAAATGTCCAAAGAATTGTGTTATCCCCAAATCATAAATCAGAAGAGCAATGAGCAGTAGTGCCAGCTATATCATGAGGAAATTAAATGCACAAAATGCTTTTCAAAGAAAGATACCAAAAAGCTTAGTATTACTTAATTTCCAAACCATAGTTGCCAAGAGTTTTAAATCATCTTTTTCAGGCTTAGCTGCAAGCATCTGGTATTTTAAGGACCGAAAATGCCCTGTATGTATGGCATCTTGTCTTGTTGCCACATCATCTATTTTGACAATCAAAGTATTGAAAAGATTCTCCGGAAGATGGTGAACAGTTTTATGTGGGAAATTGAGAGGTCAGGTGAAGGAAGAAAAAAGGGTTCAGAAGATGGCCTATCAAGAACTAGCTATAAAATTCATGATGGTCATAGATGTAAAGTGCTTTACCTGAAAAATATTTTTAATTAAATGTGTCTTTGAAAGACACATTTGCCTAAACTTGAGAAGGTAGAAACTTTGATATTTAAATAAATACCTCGATATCTAGTCACATATACAGAAGCCTGCATTCAATATTTTTTTATGCTATAGTAATTATTTTAACTTTATTACATTTTTTCCTGTGTTACAACAATATAGATGATTACCAACACACAATAAATACAAAAAATTAATATCCCCTTTCACAGATAAAACACAGAACATTTGACCTATCAAATCTTCACAACAGAGGATCTTCCCCTGCTTTCTCTAGGTCTTCTCAATTTGCATATCTGTAACAGGAAGAATTACATGAAAAAATTATCAAATTACAAAATGATGAAGGCACAGAATACTTTATAACTTTGGACCCTTTTCCTAGAGCTTGGAGCTAACAAAAAGCTTCCTTCATTGTCAAAATAGAAGATCTAAAATGAAATTAATTAAAAGATCAAACAGGAAAAGAAGATTATCATGGGAGGAAATAAAGTGGTAGTTCAAATATACTAGTGGAAAGTGCTCTTTAGCAAATACAGTGAGATTGCTGTTCCTTAGGTCTCCCTTTCTTTTAAAACCCTTTAAAATTCTTTCAAATACATTTAGTGCTCCATTTGTCAGTATTCCCAGTGGCATATCCCCAGGCCCTAAGTCTTTGGCTTGGAGATCTATACCTGCAGAACCAGCAGGCTTACCTGTAAGTTTACTGTAGTAAAGTGTATCAGGGAGGGATTTGGGGTGCAATTAATGCAAGTGATTTAGAAGCCAGCAAGAAAGTGAGAGGAAAAACCTCAATAATTTCACCCTCCTCTTCCACACCACAGAATGCTTCATATGTTTGAGATGTTTGATCATATATTTTCTTGCTTTGTTGAGACAGAATTGCACAGCTTGAGACCTGCTCAAGTGGCTAGGATGGGTTCTTTTCTCCTTCCTCATTGCCATCACCACCCTTACAGATGTGTATGAACAACTCTTTCTACAGCAAAAGTACAAGCTGGAAAAAATTACTGGTTTGAGTTGTTATATATCTCCACATCACATTTTCCTTTGTATATCTTTACTTTCTATTTTAAAAACTAGATTCATTATTTGATGTAACAAACAGTACCAATGATTTATGATGGTGAAATTGTAAGATACAGAATGGGAGGCTGTATTTCTCTTGGAGGCTCTGTCTGTTAAAACGAGAGGCTAAATAAACCAGCCTTGAATCAAAGCTCCAGTGACTGGGGATATGCTACTAATTTTTCCTTTGTCATTTATACTTACATTTCAGCTGGCTGTCTTCAAAAGAAGCATCTCTGCAGTCATGTGTATCCTTATCTTTTGACAGCTCTGTAAGTAAAGGACATACATACATGCAGCAGTGAGCATAGCTTTAACTTTTCCTATAGTTATTAATCTGTATTAAAACTGCCACCTCAGGCTACTCAGGATCTAGAGTGACTTAAATGCAGAGCAAGAGATGAGATTAACACCAGATGCCGTGTCTGTTTGGGTAGGTATTCTCAAGAGAATTTTTCATAGGAAAAATGCCAATGGCCAGCATGAACAAATTTTCACATGGCCATTTAATTTTTGGTGGTCTCCAAAAAACCATGCATCAAATTAAAAATAAATCAACCAGAAGCCATCCTTAGAGTCAGCAAAAGGATTTTAATCTCTCCTGCTGTAAATATTATGTCTCTTCATTTCTGTCAATACCACCTGTCGTGGTGGTACTGGCTTTCCACTGAGCTTTGTTCATAATAAATAGCATCAATATCACAACTCAAAAACTAAAGCTTCCCTGTGTTTCTCTCAATGGGGCCAAACTCTCTGTCACTAATGTTGTGACAGAGACCCTCAAATGCATGCTATGATACTGGAGAAAACAGAGGAATGTGCCAAGTTCAAATTACAACACGAAGTCTGCACATCAGGATGTGGTGCCATTCTGTGGTATTATGTTCCAGGGAGGCTGTCCCATCCTATTGCAGACTTTCCAAAACACATCTGTCCTTATCTTGTGCATATCAGGAGTGTATCAGTTCCTGGAACAAGTATGCTTTTCTTTCATACTTTCTTTTCAAAAGTATGACACAGTCATTAAAAGCCACTCTTCTATTTTATTTATAGTTATGTAAATGAAGTGTAGAAAGCAAAATCAAAATTGAATTTGAATCTCCATTTGGTTGTCACCAGTACATAGGTTAATTCTCAAGCAATTATTTCCACAAGAATCACACTCTGCTAGGTTTATGTTGCATGTACATACTTGCTGTTGATGAACTTGCCACAGGTGTTCTGTTGCCTATATTTGCTCTAGCTGAAAGAAAAAAGACAAAATTTAGTTTAAAAATTTCAGTTAAAAAAAACACCCAAAATACTTGCTTTAGATCTAATGAGGAACTTAAAATATTAGTGGGAGGGGCACACTTAGCATAGTGTAATCATTTGTTCTCAAAACACTAAATTTCTTCAAAAATTTAAAAATAAAGTCTTCATTGCAACACAATCTGTTGGTTTCATTTCCTTTTCTGGTTTCTAAGCTGGAACTCCATTGATACTATACACTAACAACACTGGAAAATATTTGTTCAAATGGTTTCCCACTACATCTTTTCATCCAGAATTTGAAGGTATCAGAAAACAGGGAACAAAGAGAGGATCATATTCTCAGTGCTTTATGAGGGGGAATATGTCCACATTTTGAGAAGATTCTGTTCTGAAAAAATCACTTGTCTGGTAATCCAGGATATCTTAGGGTTTAAGACAAAAATCAGTAGTTTAGCTTTGGAATCAACTGCAGTTTACCGCACACACACCTGTATGTGTGTTTATATAGATGAATATGAAACCTAATGTGATATACATTATCACATATACACACATAAACAATAAATATTAGTCATGCAACCTAAGAAACTTCTGACCTTCACTGAAATCCCCAGTGGGATTCTTTTGAGCAGTCAAGGATTTTGCTGTCCCTTCTTCCACTTTCGAGTTCTTCTCCTATTTCTATAGTGTTCTTAGGGCAAGTATATTCTTATACTTGCTGGGTTATCTACAGGCTTTCTGCAGCCTGTTAGAATCACCTTCAAGCCTATTAAGCTTATGAATACTTCTCAGGACATTTCTGTAGCCACACCCCCTCCTCCACCCAACCGATGAAAGAAAAATAAATAGTACTTCCTTCAGTTTAAGTAACAAGTTTAAACCTTTTTTTTCTTTTTTATTTTGGGTGGTAACTATATTCTTTTCATACTCAGATAACCTAAAAATTATTTCTCCAAGTTTTTGTTTTGTTAGCTAGCAAGTGAAAACAAATTATTGCCAATTCTTCAGATTTTCAACATACAATTTCCAGTAGGTAAAAAAAAAAAATGCTTTGATGTTGGAATAGGTTAGACACCGATCTTATTGCTATACATCCTTATCCATAAGAAAGATTAACAAACATGCATGGGGAAGTGGTTTGTGAGGGGCTGATAACCAGTTTCACTCTGTCAACTTGCTAATATCTACTTAGGTCCAGAAAAAAAAGAGAAATAAACAATGTGGTAAAAAATTGTCTCATTCCACTCAGCAAGGATGAATTAACAGAGCAGATTGATAATAACTGAGATACTCTACCTTTTATTATGCAGAGCAGAAATAGAAGTCCTGATCCAACAAAAACAGTAGCAATGAGAGCTGCTCCAACAAAGCGTCTGCTCTCAGTCTGGAGAATGCCATCAGTTGAATCTTCAAGAAAAATGAGTGGGGGATAGGACATTACATAATTGCCTTAGATCCTCCCTTTGCCTTTCATTTTCACAGTATAATGTTTGTTATGAGCAGTTAAGACATGATAACATTAGAGACTGTGTCTAAGGTCAGGTTCTAATGGTGCACTCAACACTTTTTTCAAATAAAGCGGAGGGTAGGGAGGAGATAGAACATTTTATATGTCTTTGTTCTTTGCGTTCTATGTGATAGTGCCTTTGATCTCATCAGAATTCTGCTTGTCAAAGTGCTACATCTGGTTTAGTTTCCCATCAGGATTACAGGAAAAAGCTAATTGATAAAGAGGACAGAGAGTTCCTTTCATCTGGTAAACCTCTCAATGCAATGGGTAATTGAATCCCTGAGATTCTTCTTGTTAAAATCAAACTTGCCTGTTGAAAGAATGACTTGGCTTTCTCACTCCAACCTGCCTGTTTCAGAGTCTTGTCAGATCCAAAAAGTGTACCTACACACGTGTTTTTAAAACTAGGTGGTGGACTGGACCAGGGAAATGACTAAGTAACAGTCTGACAAAGAGAAATACTATTTTTGAGTTGGATCAGGTCTCCAGTGTGGTTGGAAACATATCAGGCTACAATGCAGAAAAGAAGAATCAAAAGCAAAACAGCAGAAGAGCTGCCCAGTTCAAAGTCTAATTAGGAATTGTATTGGTTTTGTCCATGGATGAGTTTTCCTTCAATTCAAACTTTATGAGGAAAAAAAAATCTTTGTACAATAAGTTAATTTTAAATATGCTCAAAGCAAAGGCTGTAGTGGCAGAAAAAGACCATATTGTTCAAGTTTATGTGACAGTAATCATGAACAAAATAGAATGTTCTTGGAAGATCTGTTTAATTTATACGTGAGGATTTAATTTCCAGGTGCTGAGCTGCATGTCTTCCAAATAACGGAACTTTTTTAAAATTCAGATTCTATTTCCACATACATGCATATCACACACAATTCCTGTCTTTAAATTCTGACCACATATGCAAGATGAACATGTTAGTATGGTGAAAGTATAAATTAATAACAAAACTTAATGACACAGTTACTTCTTTATAGCCTCTTCAAAATTAGGAAAGAGAAACAAATCATGGCTGATTCAACTGGGACAAAATTACATTAGCACCTTGAAGTGTACTACCATAAATGAAATTTAGAAGTGTTACCTGCTATGTGTAAAATGGCAGATGTATTTTCTTGCAGCTCCTTATTCCAGAATATGCAGTAAAAAATCTCATCAATTCCACTTTTGATTGTAAGGGAGCTTGTCACACGGTACAACTGGTCACTTCCAGTTTCAGATCTTGTGTTTGCCTTATCAGTCAAATCCTCATAGTTTCTGTTTTGCCATATCACTTCAGCTTCTGGGTATCCCTCTGACTGACATGTCAACTTCCATTCATTGTATCCTGTGCTCACCACTCCTTGGTGTATAATTCTGTAAGGAGCTAAACAATTGGGGGGGAAAAAAAAAATCATCACCTACAGGAAACTAGAACAACAGCCTGTATAAAAGGCAAGACACCTTTTTTCCTAGCCCCCAGGGTAAAGTTTCAGCTTGGATTTTGACAGGAAAACTAAGTAACACTATTGTGGCAGTAACTGAAAGTACAGGATTTATTACAACTTTGATGTGGTTTAGAAAGCTTAGTAGGTTTTATGCTCTTTATACTGTCTACATGGTTTTGCAGCCCCATTCCTTACATGTCTTTAGGGGCTTAAAGGACAGAACACAGATTCAGCCGAGCAGTGCACAGACAGAAGTGCCAAGTTATACAGCTGCACAAGCATCATCAGACATCTCCTGTCTCTGATGAGGTTTCTTTAACTGCTAATCCAGGTATGTCTTACTTCAGGATCTCCTCTGAAATCTTTTAAAACCATCAGGGTATTGAACCTCTGGTAGTAGCACACGCACCCACAACTTTCAGATGAATTGTCTTGAAGTCAGCTCCGCCATAGGCAATAACACAGCGGTAAATGCCTGCATCTCTGAGCTTCACATCAGTGATCTGAAGGAGAGACTGTCCCAAGTTCAGATTCTCTTTCAACAATTTTATTCTTCCCCTAAAGTCACTGTGCTGATTTTTGGAATCTTCCTCTCCTTTGTGAAGTACATAAACCTGCTTCAACTCATCTTTCTTTTCCCAGCTAACACTTAAATCTCTAAAATCTAATTTTCCGTTCACTGGAAACGTGCATTCCATGGTCACATTGTTCCCACGTTCCACAGTGCAGAGTGACTGGGGAGCTTCAACAGTGAATAAAGCTGAAAAACAAAATTTGGAAGAAAACTCAGTTTTACAATAATACGCCTAAATCTTTGAAATCCTGTCTTACCATATCCATAGGAAATTTTAAGGACCAAAGTACCTGCCCTGTTCTGAAAAGTTAAACATTTTGGTATGTGTGACAAAACACAAGAGCTATGCTGTATGCACACACAACAGGCACTTATACCTGCGGACACCTGCTTTGTGCACACACACAGTGTGATGCTGTACTAAAACCAGTAAACTGTATATGCAAAGCCCCTCAGCTGTTTGAGAACACTGCCATGGTAACACACATTTCTGCCTCCAACAGGAATGTTCTGTTTCTATAAATGCCAATTGTTTTTACACAAAATATTAAAGATTATACAATTCCTAGGTTTGACAGAGCCTAGAAAACCTTTTTTGTAATGCCAATGGTACCTTGTTTGAAATGGTGCCTCTGCTGGAACAGGGATTTTAACCTGGCCTCATATCAAAATACATGCATCCAGCTTAACATAAAACCATGCTTAGACCTTCTTAATTAAAACACAAAGGAAAAAACCTCAAATGGCAGCAGCTGAAGGAAAACTGGAGAAATTAACATTTCTGTGCTTATATATTGAAAGAAAACATACTAAAACAATTCTACTGCTTTTTAAAACTTGACTTCTTACCATTTAGGGAATGCCAGTAGAATAAAAATATATACAAAAACAAAGGCCTTCCCATGATGTAGATTGAACCTAAAATGATAAAATAATAGATAAGTATAAATACATACTCATTTTCTGATTTGCACTGTCAAATACACTTTATAGTTAGTCCACACAAAGAACTGGAGAGAAGACACTCAATTCCATCCTATTTAAAAACAGGATGAAACTGCACCCAGTAGATAATCAGGCATCCTTTCTTCCTGCATGGGTGGGTCCATGTTTATTTGCTTTAAATGTTCCTTCTTGCCTATGGCTAAATAGATGTTTTATGATCATATGTTGATTAGTAAATAAGTACTCACAAATACCTGATTGTTCTGCTAACTGTAGTGGGGAATGTTGCTCCTAATGGGAGAATGGAAGAATTTTCTATACTCGGTGCAGGGAATAGAACTTGGTTCTTCCCCAGCTGTTTGCTTTACTTTAACATACTGTGAATACACCCTGCTTTTTTACTGTGGTTCCACAGTACATTTCAGAAGGCTCACAAAGTTACATATATTGTGAAAAAAACTCATGCAGTAGTCAATTTCATAACATGTATTTATGCAGTAACAACCATTTATTAACTATTCACACAATAGCGCCTTTGTAAAACAGTGACAAAGCCAGTCAATCTACAAGCAGAATCTATTGCCTTGAATTTCTGCTGCTTAACCTCTGAATACACAAGTCATTTCACTTTTCTGTCAGAAGTTTTTCCACTCTTTACTGACATAGCTTTTCTAGTCCTACACAACATTTTAAAGTGCTTATTAATATCAACTCATACATTTAATCTTCACACACCCACTGATTTTTGGTAAATCTGTGTTTCAAGTCAGAACAATAGTAATATCCAGTAATGCCATCTTTTTTCAAATTACTGTTAAGAAAAATTCAAATACCATAATGGATATCTTTTGTGAATACAGAAAATGGTAGGGGGTTTTTTTTCTAAATAAGGTCCTAATTTTGGATACCCAAACATCCACAAAAATTTATAAGATGTTTCATCCTTCTTTCTCTGATCACCAATTTTAAGATGATAGTGAGAAAACAATATTGTCCTGAATTCATAAGACACATGTGGCTTTACTTTGCTGTGGTTTAAGGGAACTGGACTCCTTATAACTGTTTGATTCAAGCTACTTCTTTTCCACATCTTGCAGCTGCCTGATCTCAATAGCTGATTTACAGCAGGCAATGTATATGGAGCTGAGAAAGGAAGGCAATCTAATACATCATTGACAATGTAAGCATGGTCTGAAAACAGCTGCAGGAAAAATATAAAGGAGATTCTTCAGGTACAAGAAATGATTAATTGATAAATCCTCATTTAATTTATGATAGGCTTCATAAAGCGGTCAGGTACCAGACTTACTCCTTAGCCACAAGTGATGTGCTTGAAAGCACTAGAAAATTGCAGCCCAATCCTGTGGGTCCCCAAGAGTTTTTCTGAAGACATACGCATTGGAATGCCTCCATCATGATTCCTCTGCTTGAGTAACAAGCACTCCAGACCATCAACTAAGCTCCAAAATAAAGCTTCTCAAACAATATCGAGATACACCAACCTCACAAATATGCCATAATAACAAAAAAAAAAAAAAAATCACCCTTATTCTGGGGACAAGCCTGCCCCTGAGTGGGTATTGTGCACTACCCATGTCAGAATGACCAGAGTTGCACACTCTGACTCAAAATACTTTTTTTTTTTTTTTTTAAGTACAGACTATAGACTGCTCAGTGCAAAGCAGACTGCCTGAACTAGTACACTACCTGAAACAAACAGTATGTGCACTACAGTCAGGATACTGAAAGATACCCACACTCCTGCCTGCAACCCCTATCTAACTTTTTGACAATAAAATTGAATGTTGGCAGGATCTCCAAGAGAGGTGTTCTGATTAACTCCTGGAAGACAGATGACAAGTTAGTTTTTATAGTCCAAAGACCCTTGTTTATATCCTGCAATTGTTGAGATTTGTCAGCATGCTTTCTCCCACTGTAGAAGAAAACAAGCTTTACAGTACAAAAAGAAGTATGACTATTACTTACAATTTCTTCAAGACTGAGAAAGTTTGCTGCTGTATTCAATTTTTCACTTCCAGAGGGAAAAAATGTAGGTCCAGGTCAAATCCAGGTGCACATGCAAAAAGAAAACCACAGCAATAACCATTATAGAACCTTCTCCTTTTTCACCCTGAGCAGAAGGATCCTTTGGACCAGTTTGAGACCTTGATGTCAAAGTTCTTTATGAAAGTTATCTGCTTGCTGTTTTTCTTATAGAACCTACTACAGTGTCCTTTTTGTCCTCCTGCTAGCTTCCAACATCTGTAGCAAATAGTTTTTTAAAAGCAAAATATATTCACTCTGCAAGTTGCTCCTCAGTACTGCTGCTGCATGTTTCTGCCACAATCAAATAAAAAAGACAGGAAAACCAGAACTATTTGTCAAAAGACTTCATGTGATAGCTTAAATGTTGATGTAACTACACCTACTTCTTTAGGAAACTTCCCCATTATTGGAAAGTTCCCCAGCAGGGAAAATTCTACATTGCTAACAGTGGCTCACTGTAACCAAAGACATAAATGCTGAAAAAATTAGAACATAAATTGACATAGGCATTTTAAGAAACATGTAATTCAGTCAAAGCTGTGTCTGAGTACCAGTCCTTGGAACAACAATTCCAAGTGACTATCCATAAAGTCAGGGTCCCTAGATAATTAATCTCAAGAAGTGCCAAACAGCTGCTAACAACTAGAACTTTATACACAACTTTCTCATTTCTGTAAAGGTCGTAGGAATAGGAATAATGCAGGAATAATAGGAAAAGCATTTCCTACCCTCCTGTTGTAAAGACACTCTCTTCCCAAGATTTGGACGCAATGAAAGCCCCTTGCCTTGCCACTGTATAGTGAAAGAAATGTTCTTAATCCTATGGACTACATTGGCAAAAAATAGAGAGCACTGTCTTTTTAATTTTCTTGTTTATAGAATTCATTTAAGAATACAGAACCTCTCCTCCCCACCCCAAGGGTTAGAAGCAAAAGGATGTACTCACATTAACTTGTAGACTGTAGTGGGAGAACCAAGTCAACAGCACAAAATACAACTAAACATATGTTTCAATGCAAATTCATTCTCTTAAGTTGTCTTCACATACCTCAGAAAAAGGTTGAAATTCTGAGAAGAGTTAAAATACTGTGAAATGACCACTGTGAAAATTTTCAGTGTTTTCTTCTTTCCACTTGACAGCTTGCTCACAGTATCTGTCATGGAAGAAAAACCACATAATGTACAAAACTGATTAAGGTTAGTGTTTTTCACTTGATGTGTGAGATGAATGTGGAAACAGTGGTATATAAAATAGCTGAATGTAACATTTGTGTTGTAACAACCTGAAACTACCTTAGGAGATTGAGGGGGTGGCTATCCACAGCAGGTGAGATAGATAAATGTTAATTTCCACACTGGGTGCTTTCCTACTCTTACAAATAGGCTAAATTATGTTGTCTCACTAAAGGGAGGCAAAAAAAAAAAAAAAAGGTGTAAGAGAAAGAAACTGAAACGCATTTATGTGAGATCAGAGAAGCTGCTAGTGTAGTGACCTTTCAATGCCAGGAAATTAGTTGTCGCTTATCCATTGCTTACCACGAGGTCACATGGCTGCATTTTCCATGTGAATGTTTAGCAATAAATAAAAGACCAGGACAGATGGGGTTCGTTTTGTTGAGTCTCTTTTTGTTCTTATTGCTTAATTTTGTTGTATATACACACATACTCCTATATATATACACAATACACATCTACATGCACACAAACATATTTTACTGCAGAATTCTACACTGTGGTGGTGGGGTTTGAGTTTTGGGTTTTTTCTACCTGTTTTGCAACAAACTTCCCAGACACCTATCTCGGTCCTGCCTGTCAGCGGGCATTCCCAAGGACAGCAAATGCCTTCTCTGAGGGCAGGCTCGGGTGGTCTCCTGGGGGCGGGATGAGATGGGTGCAGCACCGGGAGGGGCTCCGGCTGCCGGCAGAGCTGCGGTCCGGCTCCTCCCGACCCGGGGCTCCCTCCGCGGCCGCCGCAGCATCTCCCGCCCCACCTCAGCCCGGCTTCGGTCGGACGCGTGTGTTACCCCCCGGCCCCCGGCTGCTGGTGTGCCGGCCGTGGCAATGCCGCAGCCCTTGGCGGAAACCCGTCCCGAAAACCCCCAGCGCCCCCAGTGCTCCTAAGCCTTACTTTTCCCGACGCTTCAGCCGTGGCGGAGCAGGGAGTTCTCCGAGCAGCTTGTCTGTTCCTGCAAGTCGAGAGCTGTAGGAAACAAAACCAAAAGCAACATCAGTACCAACACTCCCACCCTATCCTGCTTCCCTTACCTTTCCTTATCCTTTCGTTTTTAACATGGTGAGATCACTTTACTCCCTTGCTAAACGGGTTTACATGTTTGCTTACATGTTTGCTATGTACTCATGGGGAGGATGACTGCTGTCAAAGGAAATTGACACAGTATTCAGGATACTGTGAGTATCCAGAATCCAGGATATCCGTGAGTTCCAGGAGCTATGTCCTGCTTCTCCAGAGACAAAGAAGCAATTTATTGAAATAGCTTTGTTTCCTTCCACTAAAGGAGCCTTCCAGGAGACAAACCTCCAATTTAATTACGTGATAATACAATCTGGAAATACAATGCTGTGTATAGTTTCTTTGCTGCAATAATATTTCTTATGAAACATAACCCTAACTACCTCTCAACCATAAATTTTCCACAAAAAAGCAACCCTGAAATAAGAATGTTACTCAGGATACTACCAAAGAACCAAGGAACCATTGAGAGAACGGTTTACTAATGAGTATATTTACAGGGTGAAATGTAAATTATATACAAAATTGTGATGCATGGTAGTATACACATCCCAGAGATGTGTACTGAAGGAGAGGAAGGACAGCCAAACCTCTATGCTCTCTATGCCCTAAGTATCAGGTACTGCCACCTGCAGTTTGTAGTTAATGGCTTTGTGGGCCATAAGCCATCAGGTGGCTGAGAAACCACAGAAATCCCTACCTGGAAGCCATTGGGTTTTCTGTTGATACAGCACATTGATATGGAGATGATGAACAACAATCAGTTTAATCATGTTCAAATCTTCCAAAACGATATAACATGAGTCCCTCTGAAAGAAGGCTATAGGTATTAGGTTATGCAATTAAAAACTCCTCTGCACACCCCTCACACACACCTCCAGAGAGACAGTGACTGCTATCCCTGCAGCTTCCAGGCCCTTCCCAGGGGATATCAGCCCAACAGAGACCCATCTCCACAAGCACAGAGGAGTAACAGAGGAAGCTCATATGTTAATAAGTTTCAAATAGTTTAGCAATAAACATGACATTTGTAAATGGCAAATTTACTTACGCAGCTGTGTGGTGTACGTGAGTTACAAACAGTCACAAAACCAGACAAAACAGTCATAAACCAAGCTGTGAAGTTTCTTTCCAGTAAGAACAAAAAATGACTACACAAACATTCCCAGAATGAAGTGGAAGCTTCTAGTTTATGATAAATGCTTTAAGTTAACTAAGAAGACCACATAACATAGGGACTTCCCCTACAGCAAACAAAAAATGTTCTGTGAAAGCTACAGGTTTATCTTAGCTCTCTGTAGTTGCTAAGATTTTTCTTCACACAATTCCTATTTTCAGAAGTCAAATAATAAAAGAAAAAAGTTGGTAAAAATCTCCAAGGTTGAAATCATCTTTCTTCATTAATGTAAAGTATTAGAAATCTGGATTGTTTTGCTGAACATTCATTCCTAAAACCTAAAAAAACAAACAAACAAACAAAAAAGGTTATTGTCACAAGTGAAATAATTAGCTATTATGGGGTTAAAATGCCTTATAATCATCTATGTTTACAGTCAGTACACTTATAGCATACTTAAGTAAATATACTATGGTAAAACAAGGAAACTGGCTTACCAAATACTACAAATTCAGGACATTGATCTGTCTTTCTTTCAAACTATTTTGAGTGATAGATTTTGGAATTTAATTTTGTGGATAATCTTTCGAGTTCAATGAAATCAATCAGGCAGACTGATACAGATATAATCTACTTTCCAGATACTAGTTCTACAGGCTATCTCTAGCATATGTTTCCTTCTCAATCTGGATTATATAACTGAAGAGAATAATAAATTGTTTAACATCCAAATAATTTTGGTAAAATTCAAACTGATGCATTCAAGTGAACTATGTTTAAAGATAAGAGGAAAATGCTTACTTTCTTTCAAATATTTCTTCTGGTTCTAGTTCTATGTTCCTCTTTCTTCCTCATCATGTAAAAAACCACAAATAATTACCCAACACATATCTGCATTGGCATAAATTGTAACTATTTCCATTTTCAGTTAAATCAGGGGTTTTTTTGTTAGATATCACAATTCCAACATTTCCAAGGTTCAATTATTTTTAGACCAGCTGTTTGTGGAGCAAATGTATCTTATAGTTTAATTAGTTTAAAAAATATGACAAGAACAAAGGAGACATGACTGCCTGTCTAAAGGCTGCCAGATTTATGTTATTATGAAATGTCTTTATGACTGTGCATGGGTCTTTTGTAATAGCAGCAATATCTGTAGCTTTCTGGAGTAGAGAAACACTGCCTGCCTTCAAAAATGCTCTGGAGCTGCAAGTGGTACCAACAAAGAGAGGCGAGAGCTGCAGCCCCTGCTGCAGGTTGGGCTCCTGTCTGTGTTTTCACTCTGATGTAGCTCTATCCAGCCTCCCTTCCACAGGCATGAATTACAGTAGCTTCTTCTGCCCTATGGAAACTGGCCTTCATTCTCTATGCTGCTTCTTAAATCCTAGATCCTTACTTCAGAAACCAGTGTTGTTTCCCTAGCAACAAGTCACAGTTTTGCCCCTCCACCTCTCCCTTATCTGTTCCTGTGTTATTGAAATCTGCTGCCCCATCGTGCTAAGCCCTCCATAGAAAGCAGGTCTTTGCACAGAGGTCTGCCAGAGCTGCGGCACAGAGGTCTAGTGCACTCTGAAACACCTGTCTCCTCGAGAAAAGATTTGGACAGACCAAAATGGTTTTCTTGGTTGCAAGGGGCTCAGTGGCTGAAGATGGATGCATCTTTGGTAACCTGCTTTGAAAGAATATTACATTCTCACAAATTTATCAGTGGAACACCCATCAATCACAATTCTCTCCGATGAAGTCTAGTTAAATACCTGTCAGTGGCTGCAAGTGCAGTAGTGCCATCTTGCGTGCAGCTGGAGTATACCAAGAAATTTCTCTCCTGGATCTCTACTGCACCAGAGATCCGAGGGAGCAATTAAATACTTGTTAAATACTTGAAAAAGTCACAGATGTTTTCAAATTATCACTAAAATAGCTCAAATTCTTGGAAGTTACTTACTTCAAGTTCTTTACTTCAAGTAAAAATGCTAAACGAGTTTCCACAACAGAAAATTAAGTATTTTTTTCTTACTTTTCTCTCATTTTTGCTCTACCAATAATAAAAAAAAAAAAGGGAGGGAGGAAAAATGGGAGGACAGCTGTCTTCTCAGTATTTTTTTAATAAAGCTATTCGAAAAATTCCTGAATTAAAAAATAAGTTTTGGCAAAAACAACATTTTCAGGTCAAAGTGTCAGCAGATTGAATGAGCAGACTGTTTCTGAAAAAAATATGAATTCTTGTGGTAAGACAAGATGTCAAATTGTATTTGCAATTATGAGGTGGTGTTTGAAGTGCTGTGTATCCTCATAGACTCAAAACAACAACAACAAAAAACCCCAAGACAAACCTGGAAAACTGATTGAGATATTCTTTAGTGCTAGAAGAATTCTGGGTATTAGAGCGTGGTGTTAATATAACCAGGGCTGTAGGTTTGATCCCCGTATGGGCCATTCACTTAAGAGTCGGACATAATTGACCCTTCAATTTCTTGAGTTTCTTCCAACTCAGAATATTCTGTGATTCTGTAATTCTAGCACTTTTTTTCACTTTTTTTTTTTTTTTTTTTTTTTTTTTGTATCACTCTTAAAGGCCAACTGACAGAGCATAATTTATGACTTAATAGTTTCAAGTATGAAAATTTAGCTTATTTGGATTTCAAAGCCAGCCTGTAACTATGGATGATGATGCCGTGAAAACATTCTGACGCACGATGACAGGCCAAGCAAGACAAGAAGCATTAAGCGACAAAAGGCATTTTTAATTCTTTTCCTTGTTGATTCACATGTACTGCCTAGATACATCACACCCGAGCGGTGAGCCTACCAGGGCCCGTGTGTCTATTCCTACGGGATTCTTCAAATTTCCCGGGACAGTTTTTAGGGCCGGAGGGGAAGCGGGAGGAGGGGGCGGGACGCAGGACATGCTCCTCCCGGGGGCGGCTCTCCTCACCGCTTCACCCGGCTCGCCGGCATCCCCCTTCTCGTGTGTGCTGCCCCGCAGGGCGCCATGGGCTTCGTCCTCTCCAAGGCCATGAACGACAGCCTGAAAGGTCAGCAGGAGTTTATGCGGCTGCAGGTAATGGAGAGGCTGGCGGCGGTGCGGGGAAGCGCTCCCACGGCTCTCTGCCCGGGCTGGGCTGGCAGCTTCTCCTGCTGAGCTTTGCTCTCTTGGCAGGGTTAAAGGTGCTCCATTTGCGCGCTCCGCCACGCCCCGTGTGCTGCAGGCTCGGGTGTGTAAAGCGCCAGCTCTCCGTGTCGAAGGACTTCCTCAACAGTCTGCCTTAATAAACTGTAAAAGTGGAAACTGTCATTGAAGTAGCCAGACCCTAAAAACAGTTTTGTTTTGTACAAAAGTAAAGTACATTTATGCCCAAATTGGGCTGTGTTACTGCGCTGTAACTCTGCAGTGTTAAGAAACATGCATATATTAAAGCAAATCAGTTATAATGGAGCTGCTGAAACATGGATCTTATACTTTTAAAATACATGAGTTAAATGTTTCAACTCATCCACCATAAAAAAAAAAATAATCTTTCAAACAATCCTTTTTTTAAACTCAGTCAGATAACTATAGCTATTCATTGTTCTAGAAACTTCAGACTAGGGCACGGGATGTTTTTTTCCCTCTCATAAAATAAGAAAACGGCAGCAGAGGAAAAAAGAAAACAGTTTGATTAAGGTTCAGAAAGCTGTGCTGAGCAGACCGACAGTATAGCATTAGCTTTCTGATTTGTTGTTAAGTATCTTGTAACTGACTCATAATATTTATATACTAGGTGCTGGAATGAAATCTGAAGGATTTAGCTGGAGTTTGTTTCTTTAGTTTTGCAATTAAATTGAACTTAGGTTAAATTTTTAGAATGTTTAGTGATGGATGGACTTCCAATTTACTAAATTGCCAGTAGATGGCATATTCTAGTTTACAAAGCAGTGTGTAGATCGTAGGTTTTGTAAGATCACAAGTAAACTACACTCTGAAGGTGACTTTGGATATGTGTCTAAGAAGAAGAAAGATAGCATAAGGAAAGATGATATAATAAAACAGTGGATAACTCATAAATATTCAAAGAAAAGCAACCTTTTGCACGACTTTTAGACATTGCTTTCTGTCTGTGCTGTGTTACATGTTTCTTAGCTGCAACCACAAGTTTTGTGTAAATTTTTTTTTTTTTTCCTCCTGCACAGAGATGTTCCTCCCATCCCCAAGGTTTTGGAAATCCAGATAACAGGAAGGTTTTCAGTTTGACAGATTGATAGGGAAATTCAGGTGGAAGCTTTCTTCTCTGTTCGGCAAACAGAGTTGAGGAAAGAGCTTGAATTCCAGCTAACATTTGTAGGTAGCTGCAGACTTCGAATGCCAGTCTTTGCCTTGGCTAGTTCTATATCAAATGCTCAGGCATTTATAAAAATCAAACTTTGAGGGCAGTTGCACAAATACTCTTTCAAAATTACACATAACATTTTTGCAACTTGTTCTTTGGAATCTTCCCCTGCGTTGTATTTCTTCTTTTTGACAATAGTTATGGTCAAAATAGTACATTTCTTTCTAGCACTACAAACATCTGATTGTATCTGATTCCTACTGTGTTTACAGACATACCTGCCATATTAGAAAACCTCCACCTTTTGAAAATGCATGAAGTGTACAGTTGAATCAGGTGTAAAAGATTCAGTGGAGCAGAGGTAGAACTAACTTTAATGTCACTAGGGGATGGGAGAATGTAGCCCTTCTTCAAGCTTGAGGAGAATGTAGGGTAGAGGAAAGACTGCCATTTGTCTTTTCCATATGTGACTAAAACCTGTGATGTGGAGTGTACTGCTAGACTTTCAGGCTATATGTAAAAAATGGTATAGCCTGATTTACTTGCTTTAGACAGAAATCGTAATTAGAAATAGGTGGAGGAGTTAGGTCATGCTAGGACCAGAATGAAACAGCTTAACTTAAAGCATTCGTATATTCTTATGTTGAAAAACTAGGACTTGGATGCTGTCAGTTCACCCATCTTTCTCTGAAAACCATCATATTTATTAATAAAACAGAAGCTTACACTTGAACCAATATTATGTACTTACTATAAGATACTAAAAAATACGGATTTGTTTTAAGTGTAAATTGACCCCAAATCAGCATGTAGGATCAAAACTTTGTGGAGGTTTTCATAGCTTCTGAATCTTAAAGTGTCCCATGATTAAGATATTAAAGGAATAGGGTACAAATTTCACTCCAAGCCAATTGATGTGGGTCAAGAAGCCATCAAAATAATTTCACTTAGAGTGCCTTCCCTACTAGCAATGATAGTGTGACAGTGCACAGAAATGAACTAGTTACTCTTTGGGTAGACCTGGAATGAAACACAGTAGATATTGTAAAGCTTCTTCATAACAAGATTTTTGTGCTATTAATTTCTGTGACAGAACATGTTTTTTTTAAGCAAAAAGACACCCCCAAAAACAAATAGGTGTGTGCTCTTTTCTGAAAAGCGAGAAAATACAAAGCTGTTTAGCGATGGACTTACTTCATGTGGAAGATTGTAGGCTGGAAAGAGATTGTTGCAAAAATAAGGCAATAACGTGACAGAAGTTGGACAAGACCCCTCCAGATCCCAAACCTTGGTGCATGCTAAAGCTCAGTTTTAGAGTCATTCTGATATGTACTGGGCAGCCAAACCACCTTGACTACTTGAGAATAAGACAATATGAAAACATGATGTGCATAGGTTTTTTCTTTATACATTTCTTGGGATAACTCTGAAAAGAAGGGATTTTGGCCTTGCAAACTGTATCTTAATGGTTTTTGGAAGAATAATAAAACTCAACTGTTTGCCTTGATGTTGAAGGACTTGCCAGTTGTTTGTATTGTCTTTGTGTGGCTCCAGAATGAAATACCAGTCTGTGTCAAGTGGAGACTGTTTTTGGTGGAAGTTTGTTGAGGCTTCATTTTTATCATGAGCCTTCTCCTTAAAGTGTAGTTTGCAAAATTATTTTCAAACACTTTAATATATCAGATCTACTGCTCAAGACTAGTATATAGCCTTGCAAAGTGCTTTTAGTGAGGCTGAATGGCTTAGAGGAGGTCTCTGCTCCAGGCCACAGAGCAGTTATAGCAGATTTCTTTTTATTTTATGAGCTCTGCGTGTCCTCTTAACACAATTAAATGCAGGGATTTCATGTACTTCTTTAGTCAAAGTGCTATATTCTGTACTTTCTGTTCTAGTGAGGCTTTTATTCCTTGTCCTTTTTTTTAACATCCCGGATGTATACCTTAAGAAATCTATTGCAATAACTATTTACTAAGAAAGCCATTTTAAGATGTACAAGGCAGCCTGGAAAAAGATACATATCTGAAAGTGGCAAGTAGGAATGTAGAAATGTTTGTGGCCCATTATGCTTTCCTCAGTATGGATTAGAACACTTCAAATATTAGTTTTCCTAAACAGTGACCTTACTGTCTAGAGCCAGGTGCCAAGAATCCTGACAGGTTGCTTTTTTAATAAGAAATTGCCTGACTTCACACACTGTGATGCTTCCTAAAGACTTTATTGTGATGAGACAACTTTGGTTAGTGCATAATATATTGTCTTCAAATAATGTAGAAAATACTGAAACAACCTTCTATACTCTGAGTAGTGTTATTTAGAGTGATAAGAAGCAAAATCATGGTAGAAGGTCACAGATTAAATACAGATTAAAAATTTAATTTACTGTTAATGAATTTGATTCTAGGGTAGTAGAATGCTAGATAAATTCTAGCATGAAGTAGTGCTTGCTACCTTTGCATCTCACAGTAGTATTTTGCTGTGATGTGTAAAAGACATTCTAAACACAATTTAAAAGGCTTTTAATTTAGGCTGCAGACATAGAAAAGCCTAAGATCTCCTGCCAAATTTCAGCCAGGTTTCCTAACACATGTAGCAGAATCAAAAATGCTTTCTTTAGTTTTGAACAGAACTCCACCGAATCAGTATTATGCCATACCCTCCCCTGACACGCCACTCCTCCAGTTAGGATTTAGTTAATATCCTACTGTTATTTTTATAGAGGTGTCCTGGGGTGACTTTATGATACTGGTATCCCCAGTCGCCTTGTTTATGTTATATATTAAGTTCTGCACCTTTAATATTAGCTTTGGGAGCTAGGGAAGTTGAAACTGCTGGAGGCTGATGGGAGTTTCTTCTCCTGGCCAATTATTGGTCATTTCTGAGAATTGACAGTGGTTTTGACCATGGAAAAGTGAGATCAACCTGTGAACATCTCCTGAAGATGTAAGCCCAGAAATTTCTTGTTTTCTTTGTTTTCTGGCTTCTGAAGAGGTAACAGCCTCTGTCTCGGCCTCCTCCCCCGCTCCAGGCCGGACAAGGCCGCAGAGGGCGGGGGGGGGAGAAACGGAGCCGGCTGGTTCCTGGCTCGGTTTGCAGTTTCTGCTGCTGGACTGAAGCCTGACACCATGAACATCTGCAGCTTGAGCAAGGCTTTAACTCTTTTACTACCTGATGAGACTTAGAGATTAATCCTTTTTTTCCCAGAGAGAGAGGGGAAGAGAGAGAGGGAGTGATCGACATGTAAGGAGACACCGTAAACTATCAAAGACAGTGGGAGAAAGGAATTAAGCTTGAGACGGGGGAGAGAGATAAGGAGGCAAATAGTGAAGTAGTTGTGATCCTATGAGATGCTGGAACAGAAAAAGAGAAGTAATAGTTGAAGATTTGTGGCCTTTAAGAGGCGAAGAGAAAAATTCTGTTTCCAGAGAGGCTCACAAAAACAGATGAAGAGAACTTTTGCCTTTGAATAACTCATCCTTAAAAATGACACCCCTAAACTCATTGACCCATAGCACACCTCAGAGTGATGTGAAATGGGACGAGAGAACTGATGGCAGAATTTCCAGGCAGCTGGCATCAGAGAAATAGAAAGCCATGAAGAAAATTGTTTTCTTGTGAAAAACTCCATAAATTAGCAGAAGAAGACTTCTTTTTCTCTACAAAGACTGATGAAAAGACTATTTCAAAAACTGAGACTGTTTTAACCACCAAAGTTTTTTTGTCTCTATGTTGTCATGTGAACAAGGGAATGGTTGGG